TTTTTTTTTTTTTTTTTTTTTTTTGTTTTTTGTGTTTTTTTTTTTTTTTTAAACAGGATCTTGCTATCTAGCCAAGGCTGGTTTGGCAATCCTCCTGCCTGAGTTTTGGGATTTGGGCCTTATGTCTGGCTTTGCAGTGCTTCTTTTGAAGAGAGTTTCCATGGTTAGAATATTAAAAATTAATAGTTCTGAATGTAGCTCATTAGAGGATTTTTCAAATTTCTTTAAGAATTAAAACCTTTACTGCTTTCAGTGTTCTGTAATTTGACCCTATTTTCTGTGTTTACAGTGGTCTCTGAGGAGACACTCTAACAGAGGAGAGAGAAACCTTGGGTCCAGGCCTTCCATAACCATGGAGTTTTGTGTTGTGGTTAGGAAGTGCAGCCTGTTTTACCAAGTCTGAGGACACAGAAGAGCCTGCACCACTGTTGGCGGTGGGGGGAGGAGAAAATTTCCCTCTCGGAAATTTAATTTCCACTTCAGAAATGTCACCATTGGAAGTGCTTTCCTAGCCACTTTTCAGAAAGATGTTCAGCCTTAGGTAATCCCACTGACCACAAGCAAAACAGAGTTCAAAGTCACTTTCCATATGGTACATTCCTCCTGTAGGAAGAAACTGTAAACACAAACCATCATGTGCCCTGCTTCCTTTTCTAGTCCTGGCAGAATATTTTCTGGAGTCTTTCTAAAAATCATCTCTTTTGATAACGTTGAGGGAAATTTTAGAGTACCCTTTAAACAGTCTTAAAAATATTAAGATGCACAAAATTCACTAACTGATTTGAACTTACCACAGCAGGAGATGGCTGTTGCCTGCTGTTATTTCTCCAACTCTCAGACACTGTTTCTTCTTGGACTGGAGGAAGAAACAGAAAGGTCAGAAGCTGTGTGTGACCCTCATCATTGAAAGCCACTGCTGTGGTTCATATGGAGCTCCTGTGTATTCAAGTGTTAATTGCTCATCCCCTGAGATCTTTACTGTTCCATGAGCAAATGTTCACTGTAGTGATGCTGTAGAACCTTCCAAATTATCCCTGATTGGCCAATAAAATTACCTTTATCTGGGCTAGGAAAAAGAGAGGTAGGTGAAGCTAAGGTTCATGGGGAGCAGAAGGATCACTGGGAGAGAGATGCAGGAGAGGAGGAAGGAAGGAGAAAGGAGATCGCCATGGGTTAGCATGAAAAAGAAACACGTGGCCAGGAGGAACTTGCTCTGAGGATTGACCTGATGGAGAGAAGCAGCCCAGATGAGGCATGTGCAAGTATTTATGGGAATTTTGGATGGGATGTGTGGTTGGGAGACAGCAAGGTAGCTTAGGGTGTTAAGATCTGTCCAGCCCCAGTGTTTAACTGGTGTCTGTGTCTTTTATTTATGTAACAGTGGGTTACATAATAACAGCTGCATCTAATAATCATATGAATCAATGTTAGTTACTAACAGTCCATCTACAACAGGTGACAGTGTTTGAGGCTTGAGAAAAATGCCCCCCTCCTCCTCCTCCTCCACTGAACTCTGAACACTTAGTGTCAGAATGATGTCCAGGGCTGCAGAGCAGGAAGTGCAAAGGTGAAAGGCACAGGGTGGAGCTCTGGGCCTGTGGATCTCAGGATCTGAGCATTGGTCTTACCTGGCTTATGGGCTGAGACTCCATATCCATTTTCTTATAAATGGGGACATTGGCAAAGCAGGAGTAGTTTCACAGAGATTGGAAGGATGGAGAGTGACATAGGGGACAGTGGTGCTGCAGTGGTGTGGATGTGGAGTCTCTAACAGGCTCCCGTGACCGAACACTCAGTCCCTCACTGATGGGATGTTGAAAGAGGTGGTAAAACTTTAGGGGATCCTAGGTGGAGGAAGTGGTTGTCGGGGCCATGGGCTGTGAAGTTTATAATGTGGCCCTGCTTCCCCCTGGTCGGCCAAGATAGGTGGAAGTCACCTCACGGTCCAGAAGACACACCTGTGGGCCACCCATGCTATCATCGTCACGATGGACTGTGTTTCCTTTAAACCAAGAGCCCAGATAAACGCTTAAGCTGTTTCTTCTGGGAATGCTGGTGCAGTAACAAGGAAAGTGACTGAAGAATGGCTAGCTTGGAGATGAGGCACAGGTAAAACACATTTGGCCGTGGCGTGCCTATGTGATTGTTGACACTTCTCAGCCTTGTTTGTGGCTTCTAGTTAAGAACAGGTCCCAAATGCAGGTGTGTGGTAGACTTTTGTCTTGTTACTGCTATTGTAGCCAAGAGATTTTTTTTAATTCATATTGATATGTTTATTTATAAATACCATCAAAAGAATCCACACGTCCAGTGAGGTATCATGATACACATGTTGCTTGAACCAGGAGGATCAGAACAAGTACGTGGTACTTGGTTGGAGTGATGGATAGGATGGGGACATAGAAATAGTCCTGTTCCGGCCACCTGGTTCCCCACACATGACCCCAGAGTGTCTGTGACCCGTCAATCCTTTTGTAAAGGGAGCATTCATACTGAAGGGACCTGAGGCCTCTCAGGCCACATTCTGTCTGCACAAGACAGAATCTATAGAAAAGGGTACTCTGTTTGCAGAGATGCTCAGAAGATGTTCTCTGTGTAAATGTTGTGTTGTTTTTACCTCAATATGTCGAAAGTAATGCCACTTCTTTCCACCAGTCTTAACTCTCTCCTTGGTGGTTCCTTGAATAAGAAGAGGCACAGTATAAGTTTTCCTATTGTACAGAGAATTTCTTTCTTTAAAAAATTTTTTTGCTTTATTTTTAATTGTGGGTATGTGTATCTGTGCATGTTTGAGGGGCTTGTGGAGGGCAGAGGTTTTAGATCCCCTGGGACCAGAGTTGCCTGATGTGGGTTCTGGAAGCCGAACCCTGGTCCTCTACAAGAACAATATGTGCTCTTAACTGCTGAGCCAGCTCTCCAACCCCCTGGTACAGAAATTTTTAAGAAAGCATGCTATTCTGCTGGAGAAACAAAGTACTTTTATGTACTATAAGCCGCCATGTTGCAGATTCTGTATTGCAAACCACAGGGCTACTTTCTAACAGAAGGATCCACAGCCATGTGTTGAGAGAAGAGCGTATTTCCATGAGGACTAGAAGTAATAGAGTCTGATAAGATGGACCTGTGCCCCAAGTAGCCATGACTTCTGTTTTTGTAGTGTCTCTAGTCAATGGGCCTAAATGGGGAGATCATTTAGAGTATTTGTATTGGCTTAGGGCTAGACGAGACAGACCAAAACTTTAAAATACAAAGCTGCTGTAACCAAAACAAGAGAACCACAACTGTTTGAGGGTCAGAAGGAAAAAGGGAAATGAGAAGGCCTCTACAGTAAAGGTTCAACTTGCTCTTTCCACATAACGTCTGCTTATTGGGAAAAGCATGGCTCTCCCAAGACAATAAATCTGATTAGGGATCTATCTGCCTGGAACAGTGATTGTACTCTGACCTCTGGCAGAGGGTTCTGTCCTTTCAGGAAGCTTTGCCACATCCTATGTGTACACTGGGTGACTAATATTTATTATAGAGCCATGTGATGGAACGGTGAACAAAGGTTGTGCTGGCCACCGTTTGTCCATCACCACTGTGACTTCTCCTGTGGAATGTGATGATGTTACTGGGAACCTGGCACAGTTTTTGAGGCAGCAGTGAGTGCTATTTGACCAGTACAGTCCAGAACTCCTGGGCCGCTTACTGTGGTAGTTTATCAATCCTATCGCATGCACACCGGGCCTCTCAAGCTCACAAGGGCTCTCTCAGTACTTCCCCTGTCCTCATGACCGTGGGATGATTAGCGGTGGATGATGTCATGCTGCTTCTGACTCTGCTGGGGAGGCAAGGAGGTCAGTGTGATGTGTGTGGCCATGTTTCGTTGGTAATGGAGACGCCACGGTGTACTCATTTACTATTACCCAATGTGTGGCAACTCACCCGAGGACACAGTAACTGCTGGTTCTTTGTGGTTGACAACTTTCCAGAGTTTCTGTTTGCCCTGCTGCTTGTTCTCAGACTATTCCCATAAGTTTAGCAAGTGAGCCCTATTGTTAGCAAGAGGGACTCCCCCCCCACACCCCTGGAAATTTAGCAGAATCTCCTACCCACAATTTGCAAAGACTTCTGTCTGCACAGTGTTAAGACAAAGTGGCTTTATATATTAATAGCTGAATTGTCAGGCCTTACAGCTCATGTACATAAAGAAGAAAAAAGGAAGAGATGTGTCATTGTCTGTCTTCTATTCCATGAATTGTAAATTAAATTACCCTGGCACTCCTAGAGAGGTAGGAAAAATGTTCAGTTTAAAGGCTGTAAACAAGCATTTTAATCACTGATGGAACCGACCATCAATAGGAATCTATGTGAAATGTAATAGAATGGTTCAAAAGGTTTCAGCGGAAATAAATTCTACTAAAATGTCCTAAATTTCATGCTTTATATATATTATGATTTAAGCATGTTCTATGTAAAGTATACTTCAGAAATTTTGGTTGCATAGTCAAAAGAAATACAGAAATGTTTTTATAATTACTTTTATTGTGTTTTGGAGATTGGCTGCTTATTAAAAAGCTATGGACTTTAAAGTTAGCCTTAAGAATTCAAGGGTCATCCTGAGGTAGCATTCAGTTTTAGACATTTAATGCCTTAGTATCTTTGTGAATCATCCATAGGATAAGCCTAACAAATGTTTGTTGGTGCTGATGAGAGATATTTCACATGCTTTTAGTATGCTAATTGGAAGCATCTGTGCCTCAGATATTTTTTCAAGGCTAATTTTTGTAGCATTAACAACTTTGGCTTGAGGGGTTTTGAGAAGCTGCATGATTCTTTCAAAGTATTCAGCATAACTCACCCAAGCTGCTTTTCTGGCCATACTTCAAAAGGTATCTTTTCTATCATGCCACATTCATTTTCTCTTCTATTTAGAAAATATGTGGTTTTGTTTACTTATGTGTGTGTGTACATGTACGAGTATGTATGTGTCTCTGTAAGTGTAAGCACACATATGGATACGCTGGTATAGGGGCACTGAGTTTCCTCCTTTATCACTCTCCATCTATTTCTTTGCAGTGGGCTCTTTCTCTGAACCTAGGGCTCCCATCTCAGCTAGGATGAAAGCCATCAGGACACAGCGATCATGCTGTCTCGCCCGTCTCCGAGCTTGCAGGATGCCCAGTGTGCTCTGCATGTGCTGGGATTTGAACTCTGGGCCTTAAGATTTTGGAGCAAGTAGTCTTAACTACTGAGCTACCGCTCCAGCCACATTCGTTTCCTAAAAAACAAATTTATGTCATACAGATAAACATAATCTTGAGGTCTCATTGGGATATACAGTTCTATCAAACAAAGCCATCAAACTTCAGGAAAAAAAAAATCTTTTTTGTGCTTAGGGACATGTAGTTCCTAAAATGTCTAAAATCTTGAATGTAAGAGACCAAATTCATGTAAAATACTGTTTTGTATAAAGAGTCGGCCTGTTCTGTGTTTTGTCGATTCACAGCCTGGACAAGACCACAAAGATCTGAAGAAGAGTCTAAGACCTACAACATCCATGCTGCCTTCAGCTCCTTTGTTGCATGGAATTAACTTTCATGCTTTTTATGAATTAAACCTTCTAGCTTTTTTATGGCTTCCGGACGAAATTCGGTTAGAAAGCTGGTTAAACTTAGGCAAAAGTGAATTTTTGGGGGGCCATCGTTTCTTACTGTTCTATTTTTTGACGTAGTCCCTCACCATGTAACACAAACCGGCCCTATAATATGTTCTAGACTGACCTTGAAGTTGAGATCTTCCAGCCTGGACCTCTGAACGCACTATAAGAAGCTAATAGGCAAAAGTTTAAACTTTGGGTGTATTGGTGTTCTCATTTCTAAACATGTTTGATTTTTTTTTTTATTCTTACAATGAGTTGGGCAACTCTAAATCTTTCTCCCCACCCCCTCTCTCACTCTCTCACTTCTTCTCAGGGATATTAGAGACCAAGGCAGCACATAAAAATGTAGGTAAATAATACCAGCCATGCTTTGTGTAAGTTTTTGGTACTGGGAGGAAAGAGTTGAGGCTTTCTTCAAAAGGATATGATAATGTATAAATAAACATGAAATGTCCTTAGCAATTAAATAAGGTGTGTGGAATTCTGGGAATATAAAGAGAACTAAAAACTAGGCACACTATTCTTTGCTTTCTTTTTCTTCCTTTTCTTTTGCTTAGCTGCTTTCCTCATACAGGATCAGCCACTAATTTTTTTTTAAAACTCATTGATGGCTATTGGCTGGATCTGGATTTCCTAATAGGTATGGCCTATCCATTCCTGAACCCCAGTGACCCCTTAACCTCTCAATTTCCATAATGACAGAGGCTCAATCCACCCTGTCCATCTTCTTACTGAGACCACTGATCCTGAAATCTAGTTCTGAGGCTCCCAGGAACTACTTCTTAAATAACTGCATAAAGGAAGTGTATCCAGAGCTGAGGAGGGGGTGATAAAGGAAGCTACACATATAGCAGTGTGGTCTTTCCTTCCCTTATGTGGCACAATAGAACCCTGTTTCTGGTAGCAGCAGAGACATAGATCAAAGGGAACTAGAGTACTGGGAACCACACATTAAGGAATGATAAGAGAGAGACAAGGGTGGAAGATATCAAAGATCTTGGAGATTGTTTTCAGAGTTCTGTTTTTGTACTTTGATGAAAGTAAAGCACACAAGAGGTGGAGCAAGTTTTGGAGGAGGACTGAGATCAATTATGGATGATCAACTGAGATCAGTTATGTACTGAAGACAGCTGTGGAGCATCAGATGATGAGAAGCTCACTAGGTGCTTCTACCTGGGTCTTCCAAGTTGACTCTACTTCTGTCTCCGCAACATCTATTCTGCTCATTGTGGTTTGGAGCTTCAACTCATCTCCAGGCAAGTCTGGCTAAACAAAAGTAGTCTTACTTGCTAGTTATTGGTTCCGGAACTTGCATGTGAACTAAACTGAAAAGCAAAATAACTGTTTTCAGAAAGTGTCTTTCATGGGTTTAGACCCAGAAGCCTATAGCAGTGGCAAGCCTCATGACTCTTCTAATGCCACTAAGATGCTTAATTATGAGGTGTGATGAATTCTAGAAGGCAAATAATAGAAAGAACCTATTTCCATGATGGATATCACCATCTTGGGAGCTCATTCTACCTCTCTTCATCTTTTATGTATTTCTGTATGGAGTGTAACATTTGAGTAAAGACCGTGCTATTGGTAGTGGAAAACCTCCTGGATGAAACAGCTGGAGAAGGGGATGACTAGCCAAGGTGATGTGGGAGCAAGGGATGTTACAGAGATTACACAGAAACAATAGCATAGAGATGGAATACTGGAAAACAGAGGCCACTGATTGTATCTGATTATGAATTCTTGTTTGACTCAAGATTTAGCCAAACTTCATTCTCTCCAAGTCTGTCCTTTAGCAAGTAGTCTTGTAACTACAGTTGTTCTGCAAGTCACTTGGTTATTATTTATTTAATAAACCACGTATTTTGTGGATATGGGTTTAGTCTTCCTAACTGTATGGTTGATTCAGCATTTGAGAGCACATTTGTGTGTACTTGAAGCATATATTATTGTGGGAGCAACTCTTATAAACTGAGCCAGGGAGCAGTAAAGAGAAATAGGAGCCTTAAAGCTTCGTGGCTCACCGTCCTCTGCTTCTCTTTAAGACTACTTGTGTAGAATGTGTGAGATAAAGTGTATACTTGGCACGTAGAAACCATTCATTGAATGTTATCTGAAACAATTATGAATAATTTTACACAAATTACATCAATATATATCTTTAACTGAATCTTTTTATTGCTCATTAACTCTGTTCCTTGTTTCTGGTATTGTGTTTTTGTGTCTTTCCCTTACTCTATTCATCAGTGCCTTGCCCTCACAACAAAAGAGCACTGGAAAAAAATTTTTTTGACACTGTCTCACTAGATAGCTCACTGTATCACTAAATATGCCTTAGAACTCATGCTTGTCTTGCCTCAGCCTACCAGAGTGCTGGGACTGTAGGCATATCCTATCATGCTCAGGCTCATTTCTTTTGAAACTGAAGTTAGGCAGGAGCCAAGACATGAACTTTCAAGTTGAAAGTATTTTAAATTGTATAGTCAGCATCATTCCAATGCAGTAGTAAAATCTAATTTTAAAAATATGTCATGGGTGAGGAAACAACATTGGCAAATGTTTCTCGGGCCCACAACAATTTGATTTAACCTTGCTAATGGTTTTTTTCCTCCTGGTAATTACATTCTTTATTTTCCCCATTGTTTTCTACATCACTCATCTCTTGCCTTCTCCCCACCTTGTTGGGGTACATAGTGTGGAGGTATGTCTCTGTATGTTCAAGCATATTCAATTGTTAATTCTGTACCAGCAAAGAGCTAAGTGCTGGTAGGATCTTGGTATTACCATTTTTATGGCCCATCACCAGGTTTTCTATTTTGTAAATATTTGTTTTTCCTCATCTGCCTAAGGGAATCTAGAATTGTATCTGTTTGGTTGTAATAAAGAACTGACAGCCAACATCCGGTCAGGAAGTAGAGGGTGGAACTTCCGGAGGGAAGTGATGGGAGAAGAAATGCCCTTCAGGAGATTCAGCCAGTGAACACAGAGCTGAGTAGATGAACCAGATGTAGCAGAGAGGTAGAGATAGCAACATGGCAGGATGTTTTGCGAGGATTAGTCAGTTGGGCTAAGTTTAAAGCAGCTAGGAGACTGCTCAAGCAAAAGGCCTAAGCTTAAAAATATTACAAAATCCTCTCTGTCATTATTTATATCGCCGATGGGTCCAATATAGTCTCGCTATACCACTCCTTTTTTTTC